GCTTTTGGGTTGGTTCCAAAAGTTGAAACCAACAAATACCTCCACTGTACACATTAAATATGTGCAGTTTATTCTATAACCAAAGGAATAATCTCAGGCAGGTGGCAATTCATCTCAGAAAGTATTAGGGAATATTCTCTATCTATAATAATAAAAGCATAATATGCCAATTAGACTGGACGGCCTTCCGGGAGAAGCTGGGGCTGTGAGAGAAGCCAGTGCCAGCAGCCGGGGGGAAGGAAGGCCTACTCTTGCACGAATTCCGTGCATCGGGCTTCTAGTATTAGAGATAAAAGATAGAGGCTCCATGATCTAATCTCCAGAGTATCCAAAATAATTCACCATTATCTTAGTCTGGAAAAATTCTAAATTTGGTATAACCAAACACTCACCCAGCTTCATTTTAAAAAGATCTCAGTAAGGTTACACAAGACACCTTCCAAAATAGCAGGAAGATAAACCAACGATAAAATATATGCTTAGATGGTAATGCCAAAAAAAGTATAAAAGTTGGCAACATCTAAAAACCAGTTCATTTTTGGTTTTGGTTCAAAAGGTTCTCAGGTTGCTCATTCATTCATTCAACCAATACTCTCTGAGAGCCTACTAGGGACAGGTGCTATACCAGAACCTCAGGAGACCAAGGTAAACCAGAAAGACAAGGTGCTGGCCCTCGGGACTTCACATGCTAATGGGGGCCTACAATATTGGGAGACACTAACCACATTAACAAATAACTGAAAAAGTTATAGAGAATAAAAAGTGCTATGAAGGAGTAACACTGACACTGATGATAATTATAGTTATCACATACTCAGCTCGTACCAGGTGCCAGGCACTGTGTATAAGTATCATTGGAATTAGCTCACTCTACGAAGGGGTTCTATTATTTTACAAATGAGGAGACCAGGCCCAAAGTCCCTCAGACAATCAGTGGCAGAGTCGAGACTTGAATCTCAGCCACCTGGGCTCAGAGTCCAAGTTTTCTCCCCCATGATCACACCACCTTGTGTGTGAAGCACAGCAAATGGAAGAGGAAGAACTACTTTAGATAAGGTGGTGAGGGGAAGCCTGTCAGAAGTGACATTTGAGCAGAGGTCTACAGAACAAGACATGGAGCCCTTCTTTCTGGCAGTAACTAAAGACTAAGAGTACTTGACTATTAGGCCACAACTACTTTATGCCCTACGCACATAAGGAATGCTTATTTTTATATTACATCTACAGCAGAGGAGCAAGTTGCTAATTTTTTTTTAACTGGGTAAGTGGTATTTTAAACAAATGACTAGGAATCAAAGTAAAATGATAATTTTAATGAAAATGTATGTTTGCCATAAGCCTACAATACACAATCGTGTTTGAAAAACTGTCCATAATCTGATGTTTAGCACTTACTTCGTTCAAACATTCTGCTTGGTAAGAATCATGTCATCCTTGCCCAAGTGACTGCTAACCTTGCATGAGTCAGCTCCAAATTAATGAGGGTGTTAAAATCTTTCTATTCTATTTGGTAGAACACTGGTATTTTTGAACAAAGAAAGAAGCAAGATACTAAATTCTTTTTTTAAAAACTGTATTCAGTTCTTGACAAATATACTTTCTTATACATATCCTGGCAGGGTGTCTTCAAGAATTCCCTGGGTTTCCCCAAGAAACTCTTACCCCTCACCATTTCCAACCTGCTCAAATCTAGGAAGCTCCGGTCTAAACAGACTGGAATCCACAACCTCTGGGACTTCAGTGGAGAGAGGTCGGAGGCACACGTTTCCAGGAGGGAAGAGAGGATGTGATAACAGCAAGAGAACACTATCTTAAGAATTTAAACAAAGGCTCCCAGGGATAGAATGCGAAGCCATTTATACAGCCATTCTTGCCCCTACCCAATGCCCCCAACCAAGTTTCTCTTAAAGAATCCTGTACTTCAATAACAGGCCATCTGTTTGCAACTCAAGCTACCACTACCACCTATTACCTATCCTAACACAGGTAGAGACCACAGTTCACACTTGAGGGAGAAGAGAGAAAAGACAGTTGAAGATAAGAAGGGAGGGCCAACTAGTCCAGGAATGTTTCCCACTATCTCAGTCCTCCCACCCAATTCTCTCTTTACCTATCTCTAATGCTTAGCTCCTTTCAAATTACCCCACCCCTTAATCCCACAGCTGAACCTACTCCAGGTCCAGAATCCTACCCCCAGGCCCATCCTGTTTAATTTTTGACACATGCAAGTTCCTTGGGCCTTTCCATTACCAAAGCCAACTGAGGAATTGGGGTGGTGGGGGAGGTCCCAGCTTCTGCTGACAAGCCTATGGCAAATGAAGACATTCCTCTGGAAACTCGGAATTCAGTTCTGAACTCATTTCCCTCATTATACGTGGTGGTGAGAGTCTTTTATTTGATCATGACTACACTCTGGCATACTCTGAGTCACAGTCTGATCTGAGCTCCAAACCACTGTGCATAAGACATAGCAGTGCCAGACCCTTTGAGATATATTATCTCATTTGATCTTCTCAAAACATCTGGTGGGAGGTGGGGGGGGGGGTGTCAGTGTTTGGCAGCACAGTGAAAAAAGCAAAAGTAGCTAATACTGATGGAGACTTAAATGTATGTTTACAAGATCTAAAGAAAATAATTCACAAATGAATTTTTCTAACATAGCCTGTTTTTATACTGGGAATGGTCTGGGCCCTGAAGTGGTTTACAGAGCAAAAGAAAAAGCATTATTCAGAAAAAAGCCCCAAGTTTGATTCCTAGAGTTGGCTTAGCTCTGAGACTGCCTCGTAAGACCATCTCAACGTTACTTAAATGGTTGAATTTCAGTAGGTCGCTATTGAAATGTTCTCCGCTGTATTAGCAAAAAGGCTAAGCCAGGTGTCACTCATCCGCACATGCTTCCCTCCCCACCAGAAACTTCCATCTGATGGCCTGACATCAAAGAAACAGCCAGAGTCTCCGAGAGATGGATGATTTGTTTACTTGGTCTCAACTGGCAAAATTCTGGTTCAAATGAGGGAAAACGCTCATTTGAAAGAAAAGAGGCAGAAGAAAAGAATGAAAATCCTTTCCACTCGGGCAGCAGTTTCTCTTTCCAACTTAAGACAGAGTAAATATAAATAATCCAATGACTCGAGCGACTCTGGACTTCCCCTGGGTGGATCTTTATGCCTCTCTGAGCAATTCTACACCCGTCCAATAACAAAAGCATAGCAATCCTTTTTCCTGCATCACACACCAAGTACTGGCATGCAATACTGATAATACCTAACAAGTAAAGACAGGCTTTCATTGCGAACTTGTGCTTACCCATGCTCTTCAGTGTAACTATTCGAATTCTTGGAAATCGTTGTCATTTTCCATGACCCAGAGTCAGAATATATAAATAATATACAGGAAGGAATGACTGACAGTTAAGAATTGTTTTTGGTGTTTACTTTCAAAGGAGGAAAAAAAATATTTCAATAAACAAGACGATCTGAAGGGTATGGATCAAGTTCAAGGCTCGTAGATGTTCTGAATTACTTTTCCAACTGATTTTTCATGGGAACTTTGGCAATATCACCCTATCTGTGGGGGAAACCTGAGTGTCATCTTAGCTTTGAGAATCACGCCAAAACACATGCCTCAGATAAAAAGATGGGAAAACAAGTGATAGTGGTTTTTCTTTTTTATATGCTTTGATATCTTAAATAACAGAATCGCATTCAGTTCCCTAAGCAATCAGTGCTCTTACTTTTTGGCTTTTGCACATGCTGGTCTGCCTGCATGAATGTTCTTCCTGCCATAAAAATTCATCTTTTCCATTTCTCTTGGTTAACCCCCTTTTATCCATCACACAGATACCCACTAAGAACTCACTCTTCCAGAAGCCTTCTGTGACCTCAGCTAACTTTGTGTCGTTGGTTGGGCTGTGTTTCATTCTTTGAGGCTGCCTTCAATTTTGTTTTCAGCAAAAAATTATTTCGCCTAAAGGACATGACAGTGTACATCATGTAATGAAGGCTTATTGTAAATTGCAACTTCCTGGTTCATTTTTAATTCATGTTATTCCTTAAAATAATGCAACCATGTGATTTTAGACATATTCTCTAAAAAGACTTCACTTCATCAGATTGGCCATACATAACCTTTCCGAATAAGGCTGGTTAAAAAAGGGGGGTGAAGGGAAAAGCTGCTCCTGGGGTGGAAGAGAAATTCATTCATTCACTTGAAGTTTACTGGAGGCCTATTCTGAAAATCACTATTCTCATTCCGATGATGTGGCAGATACTAAAGGTAAACAAATAACCAGATACATTCATCTTCCACCTTACTCGGGAACTTTATCAACCCTCCAAACCAGAAGCTGGCAAAGGGGATAGAACACCTGGAAACAGCATAGGAAGCACAGTGAGGTTTTACAAGACACAGGACGCTTTCAGCAGGGGCACAAAGGGAAGGGTGTCAAATATTTCAGTCTCATAATCCCCTGTTATTGTAGTACAGGAGGGAGAAATTCTTACTAATCCATCCAGTGATCTGGAACAGGGCATTCCCAGTGCTCTATGTTGTGAGGACATTCTTATTATTATTTTAATCCTCACCCAAGGATGTTTCTATTGATCTTAGTGAGGGCGGAAGAAAGAGAGAAACATCAATCAGTTGCCATACTGACCCCTTCTGGGGATCAAATCCACAACCTAGGTATGTGTCCTGACCAGGAATTGAACCTAAAACCTTTTGGTGTACAGGATGATACTCCTACCAACTGAGCCACCCTGCCAGGACGAGGACATTATTTTTTTTTTAAAAGACTAAGTTTTTGTCTCCCCCCATCAAAGTTTTACTGGTATAAAATTGGCATACAACACTGTATTTTTTCAGGTATGCAACACAACGATTTAATATATGTTTATATTGCAAAATGATTATTAGGACTTCTTAATACTCCAGTGGCTTGATTAAGACTTATTAGCTAAGCTAAATACGAACATGATATACATGTCTATAGATGAACTTACCTCGACATATGAAATTGGAAATATTCCTATTTTGTCTGCCAGCATTCCTTCAGCCCAGTTTTCATCCACTCTGCGGATCACAGTCAGAACATCATCCTAAAGAAACAATAAACATTAGTCTACCTGACCCCATCAAGCTTGTCACTCAATTTATCTTTTCAATAAAGGGACTAAAGTTCTAAGAATACATGAATAAAAACCCTGTGACATGCCTTTAGTACATGAATCCAATGTTTTGATGAACTAAATAGTAACTTTCAGTCAACCTGGTGTCCTTTCAGGAAGTTGTTAAACTAGAACCCCTTCTAACCAGGGGTTGGTTGCTCACTTTATTTAGATCCACAGATTGCAACCTCTAGTGCTACCCAGCCTCTTGAACCCATGTTTTAGATGGATTCTCAGTCTCTTGTCACTTTCTCTCTGATAATACACCAAATGCCCATTTAAATGCATATCCCACTGTTTTTCTTTACACAAAACACAATATCCTACTTAAAATTCCAAAGCACACAGGGATTATCAATTCAGTTGATATATTCCTACGTGCTTTCCAGCAAAGAAATTTACATAGAAAATAAGGAAGTAATGCTGTTTCATTTTGTTATTCATAATTTGGTGAATTAAAATCCCTGGTGGCACACATACCCTGTATAGCAACCTAGAATTAAATTTAGGCTCTAAATATGAAAATGATACCACACAGAGCATCAACCAAAATTACCTTTCATATACAACAACCCAAGCACAGAATTCCTTTGTGTGTGACTTTAAGAAGACTGCTTCCAGGTGTTTTTAAAAGCACAGTGATACAGTTCACATAACACTATTTTACCTTTTTTTTGCAAAATGAAATCCAAGCCCTATTGCTGTGTATACAGGTACAGGGGACTAATTGGCAAATGGAAAACAACCCCACCCTGACATTACCTTTGCAAATGGAAGGCAATCTTTGTCTGCTTCCTTGTCTTTCACCTCAAAGTCATAAAGTGCTTTGCACTGAGGTGGGGGCTGAGGTAACGGTTTGATAATCTGCACAAAGTTGGTGGGGAAAAATCCATGGATCCCGTTGACTTCCCCGTGGTACCAATTTTCATCCACTTGTCGCCGCAGAATGATGATGTCACCTTTGCTGAATTTAAGGTCTCCAGGCTCTTTCCCTTCGTAGTTGTATAATGCTTTGGCACATGGTAACTGAGGTATACCCTTAAAGAAAGAGATGAGTTTTAATGGAAAAACATCCTCAACGTGTCTGAAAATTTAACTGTGTTATCATTCTTTTCAAGCCAAGGTCAAACCAACATGTTGCCCTCGGAAGAAAATCTCACATAAAAAAAAAATTATACATGTGTCTCACCAAAAAAATAACAAACAAACATATGTCACAGTGAAATAAGAAGAGTCGACCACCCATGCACACCCCATGGGATTTAGCCTTCTGCTCCTAAGTCTCATTTTGTGGGGTATGTTTGGAGTATTTATTTGATACATGGAAATTCAACTGCTGAGTCTGGCTCCCTGGTATAAAATTCATAAACTCATTAAAAAAAACCAACAACTTATTGCCTGATAGTAACTACCTTATTCAGCAGGATAAATGATAAGCACTGAGAAGAAAAAATTAAACAGAAGCACAATTCATTCACTTACTGACTGCTCGGAAACTTGGTGGTTAAGAATCAGAGTTTGGCTTTGGGCAAAACTCTCCCAACTGCTTTTAATGTGGACAGTAGGACCTATTGTCTCATGAACGCTGGTATTAATTGAGGGCCTACTGTGTGCCAGGGCCTGGAATACAACAGTGAGTCAGAAAGCCACAGCTGCTGCCCTCTCAGAGTTTATCATCTGTGATCACAGAGACATAGAGTCTTTCACAATCTGCATAAGATCCTTCAACTTGGCGCTTTCCTGGTTACAGAGCACCACTGGGTTGATATGCTAATAGTTGAGGTTATAAATGTTATTAATTGCATTCTGATTTTAAATGACAGGTTTAAAAATGTCATGTGTGTGCCCACCAAGGCAACCTAATCATCAAATGGGTTAAATGTGATATTTCCCAACGGCATTGGAGGTGCCCATTCTTGAGCAGTAGCTGTCACTTTAAGAAGAGCTCTGGCCTATCTGGGACACTTCTGCCTATCACTGATTTAAAGACTAAATGGCAAATCAAACATGTATATCGTAATTCACCGAATGAGATTCCTGGGCTCCTGCTTTTCACGTACGTATTAATTTATTCATTCATACAGAAAACATGTATCGCAGGCAACATGCTAGTGCTGAGAACTGAAAGAGGAATAGGGCTCAGTTCTTATCCTTAAAGGACAAGATATTAAAGATAGAATTATAATACAGGGTAGTGAGTGCAATGATAGAGTTATGCTAGGATACGGAATTCAACAACAGAGATATGACAGAGGTGCAGAAAGCACAGGTCGGTGGTGGGTGAAAAGTGAAACACTTCCTGGAGGAAGTGACACCTGAGCCAATTAAAGGATACAGAGGAGTCAGCCAGGCAAAGCTGGAGTAGAAGAACGAAAGACGAGTGAGGGCATTGCAGGCAGAGAACACAGTCCCAGCAAAGACATGGAGCGTGCTGTGCAGCGGGAGTGGGGTTTTATACAGAACACGGGGTTTTACAGAACGTGGTGTTCCCGGAAAGGGACTGTGGAATATCAAGTTGGGAGAGGTGGGCAGAGGCTCGATTGTGGAGAGTCTTGAGTGACATGTGAAAGAGCTTCCATTGCCATGTCCCTCAGGCAGTGACAAGCCACTCCCAGGCTGCAGGCACGGCCAGCCATGAGAAGAGCTGTGTGCCAGGCAGATGAGTCTGGCAGCAGGATGGGAAGCGGACAGGAAGTGGGCTGGCAGGCAGACAGCTCTGTGCAAAGCACAGGCCTCGACTAGTTGAAATAGTTTTTAGGTTTCCTCTTTCTAATAAGTAGAGCAAGAGGGAGGATTACTCATGTTGCTAACCTCTCCCTAGCCCCCGCCCCCACAAAAAAAAAAAAAAAAAAAAAAAAAAAAAATCCCTCTCCCTAGCCCCCGCCCCCACAAAAAAAAACAACAGATGAGAGTGCTACACCCTGGATGGCAACAAAACTTCATAATATAGTTAAAAAAAAAACAGTTTGGTTTCTAGTCAGAGATTTAGAGTCTGACCTACTTATAAAAGCCAAACTTTTTTTGTTAATTTTGTTTGGCTGAAGGGGACCAGCCAATTCTTGGATCTCAACATGCTATTGGCAGGCGTCTTGTCTTGGCTTGGCCCGTAGGATGTTGTGTTTGGTTAATGAGAGCTGCTCTGGAGGCCAATACTCCGGAAGACAGGGGTTGAGCCTTCCAGAAGTCCTGGGACCCTCATGTACCCCTCTGACTTTGGGGCCCTGCCTTAAGATCCTGCCCTGAATGGCCTGACGCCTGCTGCCCATCCTTGACCTAATCTTGTAAACAACCCTGCTGCCCCTTTGGCTTCCCCAGAAGGGAAATGCCCATCAGGAACTCGGGTGCTTCACAATCCTGTGAACTCGGGTCACATTCCATTCAAGGTCCAACCTTATGGAAGGATTCTAATCTCTGTCTATTCTCCCGGAGAGACCTCCCTACACTCTCTTCTTTACTATGTCTTTCTCAAAGTCTGGTTACCACAACTAACAGTGCTTCCCAAGTCAAGTTTGAGGAAATAACAGTAAATAAACACAGCAATAGATATGACGGTGAGAGCCCAGCCAGCATGGCTCAGTAGTTGAGCATCAACCTATTGAACCAGGTTCAATTCCTGGTCAGGGCACATGCCCAGGCTGTGGGCTCGATCCCCAGTGGGGGGTGTGCAGGAGGCAGCCGATCAATGATTCTCTCTCATCACTGATGTTTATTTCTCTCTCCCCCTTTCCCTAACCTCTCCAAAACCAATAAAAATATATTTTAAAAAATATTACTATAAGGGAGAGAGCAAGAGTGATCGAGCCAGAGACAGAGCACTGACAACGACCACAGTAAATGAATTCTTGGAACATAGCTGATGGGACCATGATCAGACAGCAAAGGGCACCTTTTGGGAGCCCAAACTCCAGAGCCAAATGCCTGGGTTTGAATCCCAACTCAGCCACTTACAAGCTGTGTGATCTTGAGCAGCTTGACCTTTCTGTGCCTCATTTTCTTCATCTGGGTTGTCGTGAGGATTCAGTGAATGAATGTATGAAAACCACTACAAATGGCCCAGCAGGCAGCAAGTGCTACAAGCATGAACTATCATCATCATCATCATCCAGAATGAAAAGCCTGTTCGCCAGGGAAACACAGCACCTGAAAATGCATTTGTCTCCATGCAGCTGGACGCCTTTCTTTTTGGACGAATTCACATAGCAATTACATTTTAATACATATTCACTGTAGAACAATGCAAAGAATGCTCCTCCTAGGAAGTGTTCGGGGTTTCGAAACGTGCACTTCTGAAGCCCACATTTGTTTTCTGAGTGGAATCCATTCATCTTCTGGTTGAACAGAAGAAATTACAAATTCACAGACATGCACCGTTTAATAGGGGATGGCGTTTTAGATGTGGCTGTAGTTCATCTTGACAGGGCTAATGTAAGGCACTGGATGCCTGCATGAATTAATTGAAAATCCTATTACAAACTTGGTGACAAATAACTCTATTCACCATTACGGCCTGTTCTCTCAATTTCCCCCCCCCCCCACCTCAATTAGCTCTTTTTGGCCTACTCTGCCCAAATCCATGCCAGCCAAATCCATGCACCGAGATTCTGAGTGAGCACTCTTAGAAACCACTCTGAACTGCTCCTTGAGGAGATCTGTAACATTCCAAACTACCCACAGTGTGGTTCTTTGGTGATACGCTGATGTGGGAACTGAAGGAATTTATTCCTTCACAGATCACTTGTACACACCAGTGGCCTCACGGACTTATTAACATTTCCACCGCACAAAAATCTATTAAATGTTCCTAAAATCATCAATCATGCTTATCACAATGAGCAGCAAGGATAAAACTTATCACAGGGGTACCCATTCTGGTTAGCCTAGTTACATCTCTGTGACTGCAACCTGAAATGCATTCATTCACACTGACTTGCTAAGGTTATTTCAATGACCAATAACCGCAGAGAAAGAGTCATAAAGCTTATGGCAATCTAACCCAGGAGCAGACATTTGTGCATCTGGCTGTGTTTTTCTATGGTGTTCTTTTTCAATTCAAAGAGGCTAAGAAGCCAGTTTGTGTCAAATTTCTCAAAAGAAGGTTTCCCACATTAAATGAAATGAATTCTACTCTGATTTCAAATCAAGCCAAGTTCAGTGATCTTTAAAAGACCTATTCCCACACAGACTGCAGATGATTAAGGCTAAACGGTTAACGACTTGGAAGAACAATAAAAGAATGTATTTTTCCTCTGCAACATCTGAAGGATAAAGTCAGAACAATTGGCTGGATAGCCTAGGACTACTCTTGTGGGTGAAATACACCCAGAGCTCACGGAGGCACTGCCTTCTCATTCATCTCCTTAGAAAGGTCGGGGAGTCATGTCAGCACCCGGGCCCTTTGCCCTCAGCGCCTTCGGCGGGCTTTCCGAACGGCCGCCTTTCTTCTGCGTCCTCTCATCAGGCCACGGCCCCTGAGGAGCTGCACAGCTTACATTTCACTTGGCTCCACATGAAAGGGAGGCTTAAAAGGAGAGAAAGCCAGAGAGAAACCAACTCCGCAGTCTAACCTGGGGTTTGCAGCTGTCACTCACGCTGCCAGCTTTATCAAAAAACTTGGCAATTTAGACAGGGGAGGCAGTATAACAATTCTAAATCTAAAATACATTTCAATAAATGATGACTCTCTTGCTCATAGAGACAAAGGATACCTATGATAGTGAGCCAGTTTTCCTTCTCAAGTAATTTTTACTTCTATGTTATATGTACAGGTATTTTATCTGACATTAAAATCCTCATGAGATCAGCACACAAATATTTTTGATTAAATGCTTTACCCTCCATTTCTGTACCATCAAGTGCATCCCGATATATCTGGCAAAGCACTACTTGATGATCTAGCTGAGAGTCTAACAGGTAAATAAAACATTCACTGACAATTTATTTTATAGACTCTAAATGCCAATGCTCAGATATAAATGCAAGACAGCCTCCTGAAATTCAAATTCCTTCATGCATTTCTTACTGCTCCATAAAGTAAAAGA